GTACCCCCCATGTACAGGTTTTATGGTGTCTTGGAAAGTTATAGGGTTAAATATAGTGCTAGCAAATTAAATTCCCTTTACTTTTGGCATGGGTTGTCAGGCAGGTCCCGCTAATTGTAATTAATTAAGATACCCAATTATGTAAAAATATTACATAAATATATATGTAGAATTAATATATGTATATATATATATATATATATATATATATATATACATATGTGAATATATATATGTATATACATATATATAATTTTTTTCAAATATTTTTATTTATATATAGGTATATATAGTGATATATATGTATATATATATATTATTTCCTTCTACATGTATTTTGATATAAATATATATATATATTAATATCACAATACAGTTAGAACGAAATAACATACATCTATATATTTTTAATTATTTTTTTAATTATTTTTTTATTTTATTTTTTAACGTATTTACATATTTATTTTTTTATATTATATATAAATATATATATAACAATAATTATATATATATATATTTAATCAGTATCAGTCTACGTGTAATTTGATATTAATATATTTATATAATTATATATATATATATATATATATATATATTAATAGTAAAATACACCTATACAGTGTACGTGTGTGTATGTATATGTGTATATATATATATATATATATACTTAGATCATATATATATGATCTAAGTATATATATATTTTTTTACACTTATTTAACTTTTTAATTTTTATTTCCAGCCAGCAGGGGGACCACCTGTCATTACAGACAGCCCCCCTGCTGGCAATGCAGGAGGCAGCTATCCCGGCCATGTGATTGTGAGGTCCTCGCAAGGACCTCACTCTCACATGGCCGGGGGGGCTGCCAGGGGGTCGGACGTGCCGCAGGGAGCTCCCTGGGAGTCCCCCCAACCGCGATCGCTGGCGTGGGACCGGGTAAGTACAGAAAGACCGGAGGGCGTACTATTACACCCGGCGGCATTTAGAGCCGCCTAAAATAGGGCGTAATAGTACGCCCTCCGGTCTTAAGGGGTTAAGGGCTTAAAAACACAGTCACTAAAGGGTGGCAAACAGAATCACAAACCATATGTAAAATAACTGAGATCTGTGTCACATCCACTGGACTGGAGACTAATATATGAGACTAATTGTTAGATCAGTAAAAAGTCACACAAAATGCTAAGGCAGTTCCCCTTATACAGGAGAAACTACCAAGCAAGTAACTATAGGAACTATAGGAATTAGAGTTACTATATTGATACTTAGGTGCTATTGTATCTCTCTTGATTTAGCAGTTTAATAAAGTTACAGTGTAGCACTGTTTATTTAGAGATACTTATTTATGCACTAATCTCCAGTATTTGATATTATTAAATAACTTTCTGGCTCTTTTTTCCCTAATATTTTTCTCCTATCAGTCGGACTCCATGCTCTAAGATGCATTAGGCTTTATATTAGTGTTTGCTCATTATTTTACTAGCTTGCTTGGTAGTTTCTCCTGTATAAGGGGAACTGCCTTGGCATTTTGTGTGACTTTTTACTAATTCTACAATAAAGGGTTCATGCCCATTTTTGGGTGGTGCTGGTACCACCTATCCTGACCGATTCCCCTTGTCCTAGATCCAACATTTTGGTTGATCTACGACTAAAGGGGAATTCTGCTGTTCTTTATACTTGGTTAATTGTTAGATCATTTTTTGTTAAAATCATTTTTAGAATAATGATTCATTTTATTTCATACAATTGGGCTGATTTGTGCCTTACCCTACACCTCACAGTCACTGGGCCACCCCCACCACTGCCACCAGAGACAAAAGAGTTTTTCAAAATAAGAGGTAATAACAGAACGATGGGGAATTCTTTACTTTTTATCAGAATTTTATTTTTAATCAGAAAATGATTTTATACCATTTGTTAAAAATTGTTTTTATTCGTATAGAAATGAGCAAACGAAAAAAAAAAACGGCATTACGGATTTCTTCACGAAGGCATCCAATAAAAATATCACATGATTCTGCAAGTTGCTCCACTCAGTCTGAGCCTTTGCTTCAGCAGGCGGTGTCCGCTGCAGAAACTACATCAGTCAGTGAATCGGCTGTAGTGGACATGGTTACTGAGGGTTGAGTAGTTATTAAAACCCCATTATACAGCGCTTCGATCATTCATTTTATTCTCACTATCAATCAAATACGATGCATATAGCGATGTACCTCATACATAGACTACTTAGTATCAACTCAAGTATCTATGACATTCTCTTTTTATATATATGTATGTTATTTTTAACATTGTTATCTATAACTACTGTACTTTCTTATGGAATATACCTCTTAATCCTTTAGATTTTTGCTTAGGGTTTTTAGAATACTACAAGAAACATCGATTTCTATATGCTGTAAATATTTATATACTTTTTGATATATTTTTTTGATATATTTTTTTGATATATTTTTAGATTTTTATTTTATTTTATTTTACTCTACAGATACTCTTAATGTTTCTATGTTTTCACTCATTTCTAAGTCTGCATTATTCATATTTATGAATTTTAAGAACTCTGTAGAACTCTGTATATTGAAATGATATGTGTAAATTTTGTATGAAAACCCTGATCAACTGAAATGATATGTTCAAATTCTATGTGAAAACCCCGATTAACTGTTTAGTGCAACATCCCCCAAATCAATTAATACACCAATTAATACAATCAATTTTAATTAGTTTGAACTGTATTTAAAACATGCTACATCCAAGGAACTTCATCCTGTCTCTGAAGAAGTGGGGCTGACACCCACGAAACGCGTTAGACCACATTCAATCAAGCAGGGTACGGACGCAGATTAGAGAACCAGCCACCGAGCTCTCTTCCACTTCACCGGGCAAAAGAGCATTCCGAGATCTAGGGACCGACCGGCTAGCAGCATGCATCACCCAGAGTGAGGTCTGGGACGCACGCTAAACCTCACGAGCAGCCGGCAGAAAGTGATACAGTCAAAAGCAACTAAGTATCCATATCCATCCTGATGAGTCCCTATGGTAAAATCAGAACTACAAACACTGAAGTGCTGGTAATAATCTTGCAAACCATCCCTGAATGTTATTTTAATATTTTGATATATTATTATTTTCCATATATTTTTATGCTTTGGCACTTTTATAATAAACTTCGTATTATTTTTAAATTTGCTGGATTTTATTGATTTTCACTATTTTATTGTAGAATACAGTCACCTATACTGTATTTCTACTTCATAAAGTTTAAACTTTATATCTTTGTAATACAAAGAACATTATTATTTTGGTATATACTCCATCTTATCTCTGTATGTACAGACTTAAAGGTGTACACACCAAATATATTTTTGCCACTACACATTTATGTTGCACTAATTCTATGGCAATATAGGAAACAGTTCCTCATACTGTCTTCCTATACATGAAGAGGTCGTAATCTCTTTCTTTAAAAAAGTATAGTATTCTGTGTGTATCCATTTTACTCTGCTTTTTAGCAGATTTAAAGGTATACACACCATACATATAAGTGTTGCTCTCTATTTCCGATTCTTGAAACATATGCCTACAGCAGCGTCTCAACTTGAGCCTTGTTAATGAAATAGCTCCTGGTTTTATCGCACTGGAGTTACGGTGTCAATTCTATTTTTCTACATTTTCAGACAGATTTTTGGTGAAATTTCTGCCTATATCCAGTATTGAGCATTTCATTTTAAGTCAGACTCCCTCATTCTCTGTGTGTTGCACTAGGCATACCAGACCAATTCAATGGTTACTGATGTGGCTGAATTTAAAAAAAAGTACCCTTGGCTGTTTGTAGACAATGGTCTTTTAGGGTGCAAAGTGTATCGCGAGGTTAAACACCTTGGAGTGGCTGTTTCACAGGGTGTATCCATTTCTAAAGAACGGAGCACTGGTACAATTACACCATATGGCAAAACAAAAAAAGATATGTTGACCTCACTACGTAAAAAAATCCACATACATAAGTTTTCAGAAGCACATGTAAAGGCAGGAGATATCCAAGCAGTATCCAGAAAGGAGATTCTGCAATCCAATATTGCTGAACAGCAGAAGCATAAGTTTGCGTCCAGTACTAAGGTATTTCGCACTGCCTACTTTTGTGCGAAAAAAATCGCCCTTTCACAGACTTCAGAGATCTTATCAGCTTGCAGGTTGCAAATGGAGCTGACTTAGGATGTATTCTCCATAGTGAGTACACAGCAGCGCAAATAATAGATTGCATTGCTAGTGAAATGAGAAAAAAGCTTTGCAAGGCAATTGTTGAGCAGGCTCCAAAAATTTCTGTTTATATTGATCAGTCTACAACAGTTTCTACCCATTCAGTGTTAATAGTTTATATTCGTGCCTCTGTTAACGGAAAAGACCCAGTTACTTTCTTTCTTGATTTGCTTGATTTGCCTAAAGCAGATGCACAGTCTATTGAAGCCACTCTTCTAGCTTGTCTTTCTAAATTTGGGTTCAGTAATGACTTTCTTGCCGAGAACTGGATTGGGGTGCAAGTGTAATGCTTGGAAGAAAGTTGGGTGTTCTGGAACGACTCAGTCAAAAATATCCAAAGATTGTGAAATGGCACTGCTTGTGTCATAGGCTTGAATTGTGCATTTCAGATACAATTGATTCTATTCCTAGTCTTCATCATGTAACATCATTTTTTGAGAAGTTGTATGCTGTGTATCATCAGTCACCAAAAAATCTGGCAGAGCTCTCAGAATGTGCAAAAGAATTTGAAGTACAAATTCTTACAATTGGAAAAGTTTTTTCAGTTAGATGGGTTGCTTCAAGCCAGAGAGCTATACGAGCAGTTTAGGAGTCATATCCTGCCCTACACAGTCATTTCTTGAAAGCAAGATTAAGTTCAGCTAATAACAGTAAGCAGAAATCTGTATTTAGTGGCCTTAACAAGGTCTTGACATCAGTAGATTATTTGTTAAACCTTGTAGGGGTTGCGGATACTGTTCAGGAAATGGGACTGTTATCTGAAGCTCTGCAAAGAGATGACATCACACTTCCACGAGCCTATCAGCTGATTAATCGTTCCATTCGTGCCGTTGAAAAAATGAAAGACATGCCTGGCAAACATCTGAAAGAAGTAATGGAATCGCTGGAGAAAGGGAATTTCAAAGGTGTGACCATCAATCCAGAGAGTACAAAAAGCCAAGTGAGGATAAATCTCCCTCAATTTTATCAAAGTTTGGTGGATAATTTACACTCCAGACTCTTTGCTTTAACTGCGAGCAACAAACCGGCAGCTTCATCACAGTCAGGTGAATTTGAAACTCTTGTCTCTGAAATTGACATCCTGAATTCACAGCACTGGCCAATCAATGTGGACAGTCCGTGGTTTGAAGGTGAAGCGAAGCTGGAGCAGCTGTGCAAAAGATTCCGTCTCAGCTATGCATCCATCTGTGAAGGTTTCAGAGACTACATTGATAATGGTGGTGCAGAGATTCCCGAAAATCTAAAACCAGTGGTGACAGCAGTTAACAGTCTTCTAGTGACATCCGGTGATTGTTAAAGGGGCTTCAGTACAATGAATTTGGTGATGTCACCCATTAGGAGTGGGCTTGGCATTGAACGCCTGTCTTCTCTTTTGTTTATTAGTCTCATTGGGCCTCCTGTGCATTTATGGGATCCTTTACCATACGTCACAAAATGGCTGACCACACATCGCAGCGCAGATGATACTAAATCTCGAAAAGTTGATAATCTTGCACGGCAAGGGCAACGTTATTCCAGTTTGTGGGATATTTTCTAATGGGCTGTGTGTTTAGTTTTTATACACTGTTTGTTTTAGAAATTCCCTGCGAGGGAAAAATCACCCATTGTGGTGATTATTCTGTTAGTTTGACTAACAAGTTAACTCCCTCCCAAACAACACCATTCACTTTATCACAGTTGTTAGAACTGTTCTATATTCATTTGTTTATTGCATAGCTAATTTAATTCGTTTCAACTGTTCTATATATATATTTGTTTATTGCATGTGAATTTTGCAGTTGTTTGTGTAAACTGGCACTTTACAATAAATGTTGCATTGAATTTCTGTGAAATATATATTTTTTGGGTGGGGGGGAAGTGGAAGTGGATCTTGGGTGAGTTCCCACACTTTTTTTCCCAGGACTTGACCCCTGGTAACAATCCTACAATCATCAAAAAGGGTATGATTTCTTTTGTGATCACAGGATCACTAAGTGGTCTACCATCTATGGCCTCTACAACCAAAGATGTGGATCTTACTCTTAAAGGGAGAAAATAGGTTTTAGCAAAAGCGACATCAACAATGTTTTCTGCAGCCCTAGAATCGATAAGGGCATGCGTGTGGACAGTCTTGTTCTCCCACTTTAAGGTTATAGGGAGTAGAAGCCTATGTTCTTTTCTAGGTTCAAAGGAGGACATGTGTAATACACCCAAGGCCAGTCCTCCAAGAGGGCTTAGGTGCGGGAGTTTTCTGGCCTATTGGGAAATATTACGCGTAAATGCCCCTTCTTCCTGCAATATAAACAAATACATTCTTCTATAAGATTTTTCAGCTTTGGATAAGCTACTGGGTCCTAACTGCATGGGTTCAGTAATGGCTACAGTGGTTGTTTCCGATGCTGGGAACGTTAAAGCCAAGTGTACGGGGTTCCTTCTTGGTCGATCTCTGGTGTTATGTCTATGTCTGAGATGCTTGTCTAAATGAGAAAGATACGTTATGAGCTTCTCTAAATCTTCAGGCAAGTCCCTAGCTGCCACCTTATCCAACAAAGTATCCAAGAGACCGTTTATAAAAACGTCTACACATGCCTGGTTGTTCCACTGCACTTCTGCAGCGTGTGTGAAACTCTAGAGCAAGCATGTCGAACTTACACGTGTGGCCCACAATGAATATATTTGTGGATCACCTGCCCTGGGGCAGCTTTGTGCTGTGGCTGCGACCAGCAGCAAGATATGAAAGATATTTCCTACCTGATTCTTGGCTTTACCTCCCACGGATAATTGCGTGCTCCCGCGGTCCCATTCCCTCCTGCTCGCATTGCCAGAGGAGCAGGGCTGGAACTGGAAGACGACCAGCTCATTTTATATTAGAAGATGGGCTTAGGGGACCTTCCTGTGTAGTATGTTAATGGGGGGGGGCAGTGTATTCATTTGAGAGGGGGAGGGGTATTGTGTTAATTTGGGCGAGGGAAGGGGCCAGTGTATTAGAGTAGTGGGAGGGGGAGGCAAGTGTATTATAGTGGTGGGAGGGAGCAGTGTATTAGAGTGGGGGAGGGGCCAGTGTGTTAAATTAAGGGGAGGGCAGTGTATTAAATTGGGGAGGGAGGAGGCAGTGTATTAAGTTGGGTGAGGGATGGTAGTGTATTAAATTAGAGTGTTGGGAGTGTGGGCAATGTATTCAATTAAAGTGGAGGGAGGAGGGGCAGTTTATTAGATTGGGTGGAGTGGGAGGTGTTAGAGTGGAGGGAGGGGGGGCCACGTATTAAATTTGTGGGTAGTGTATTAGAATGGAGGGAGGAGACAGTGTATAAGACTGGGTCTGCATGGAGGCACTGAACTCTCCCCATGGAGATGCTGATTGGCCGCGCAGCTTTTTGCCACACATGCACAAAGCATTGGATTGGCTGAGATCATCAAGTTTGATGATCTCAGTGAAGTGAAGAACACACTCATAGGACTTAAAAATCAACAAGATAATGTCATTTGTGTTTTAAAGCTGTGCAACAGTACACATTCACAATTTCAGTCCCATTACCAAACGTTTCTTAATCTGTCAAGGTAGTTGGACTGAAACATTGGTTATATGCAAATGCACACCTCCTTGAAATAAATTCGCTCTTTTGTTTACCTTGAAGCCCTACGAGCGTGAGGTCATCCAGTGTCAGGCAACTTTTTTTATACTAGACTTTTCTAAATAAACCTACATTTCTATGAAAACTGAAGTTTTTGTGGCCCACATGCACGTAAACCTTGTTTATTTGGCCCCTGTTAGCCTTTGAGTTTGACATGCTTGCTCTAGAGCATACTCCAAAAGAGACCCTTGTTTCATCCTAAGAAGAGTCTTAGCTGCATTTGCTCGTCTTCCTGGGGGATCAAAGGTTCGACTGAATGCAGCTACAAACTCAGCATAGTTGTAAACCAAGGGGTTGTTATTTTCCCATAATAGGTTTCCCCATACCAATGCCCTATCCACAAGTAGGTTAATCATAAAACCCACTTTAGCCCTGTCGGTGGGATAGGCTCTGGGTTGCAATTCAAAATATATTCTGATCTGGTTTAAGAACCCTCTGCATATATAGGGGACGTCATATGGGTAGTCGAACTAACAGTAGCAACCTCCATGTTAGAAGGAGCAGCTACCGGAATGGGGTTTTTGCGCCTCAGTTTGCAGATGTGCCGTACGGGCTAGTAACGTTTACAGAGCAAGGGCAAATTGGTCCATGCGTGGTCCATTTTTTCGAACTACACGTCATAACCTGAAGCTTGTGGGTTGACACCTGCAGGGTCCATGGCCCTATTGTAATATCACGGTCATGTGATAACCCAACACGCAGCATGTAAACCCACAGAAAACCCAAACACGTATTACCGAACCTTAGAATGGTTGGGTTTAACGTAGGTAGAAAAACCTAGTCAAGGAATAGCCAAAAGTCAGGATACCAAGTTCAGGAGAACGGTACTAGAATAGCTGGGTCAGGATTCCAGAAATCAGGAGGTCAAAATACAAGCCAAGTCATGGAAACAGAAAACAAGGAAGTCTAAAGCCAAGCCGATCCAATACACAGAAATAACAATACAATCACAAGGAGAACCAAATAGCACTAAGGGGAACACAAGGAACCACAATAGGGCAAGGAACAAAGCAAAACGCTCTCCTGTTAAGACCACGCCCCCAAAATGTTCTGGGCCGATATAGATGACGCGTCATGAAAAGGGGCGTGATTCCAGAGTCCGGTGTGGGACATGCCAAACACAATGTGAGAGGACAAAATTGAAAAAAGAATAACAAGTCTTTCTTTGAAAAAAGGGGGTTCCAAGTCAAAAGACTATGGGTAACGATTCTCAAAAAATGGTTAGATTACCCACATATAACATGTATAACCCACTATAATTGGTAAGAAACAAAAAATTTAAATATAAACTTTATTAGTATTTCAAGGGCATATCTACATAATAGTGAAAAAGAAAAAAAAGGCAAAGTGAAAAACACAAAAGTGACTTGCAAAAAAAAAGTGTAATATTAAAAAGGAGAAACCTAGGGGGTCTGCCTATCTGACTTGTATATATCAATCACAGCAAGCGTGAGCAAATATACTAAATCTTAGTCAAACCAAGTAGAAAGATAGTATCAAGAAAGACAGCTGTTTAGTAATAAAATGTTATTCCAAGTGGAAGGCTAAAATGTAGCCAATTAAATAGCAGCAGTCTATGGGGATTGGAAGAATAAAGCCTAGAATTTACATTCAAAATTATATATATAGTTTGAAAATTAGAGATATTGGAAATATTAGAGATATTCATAAAAGGTATGGGTAGATACAATGATAGAGATAATGTAAAATAATGGAAGTATACTGGTATATTAGTAGAGTCTGATTATACGGAACAGGAGGGTAAGGGTATAGAATTTTAATTCTCCACCCCGACCTAAATAAATAGACCAAACTTCACTTAAAAGAGGGTGAATATAGGATTTAAAGGGGAAAACAGGAGGGTAGGAGTTCATAGCAATAATTACCTACCCCCTTCTCCGCTACAAACCACAATTTTGTCTTTTCTGGGTAAAGCCCATATTACCCATTTAGTCCACTCTTGACTCTGGGGTCAGGTTTTTCCTGCCCATCCAGTCGTGTAATATTTTTCTCAACACTGTGAGAGGAGCCGGCGTCAGATCCTGCACCATGTGGGCGTGAAGGAGTAATGTGAAAGATCGTGACACTATATTACAGTGACCCTATGGATGGCATGGTATATTTTTAAAAGCACCACAATATATATATATATATATATATATATGTTTATCTCTATCTCTAATCTCTGTACCTCTCTATATCTGTCTGTCCAACCATCTATATATCAATCTATCTACCCAAAGCTTCAATACAGCCTTCGTATTTAATTGGCTACACACACTTCTAGGGGCCAGAAGCAGTTACCATGCCTAATCTATTTTTAATAATGGCATGACTAATCTGTTTTTACATTTTCTGTAAGACAAAGATCAGGTGTTGCATCTGTTACTTTAGTCATATGTATGGTGTTTTATTTTCACTTCATAGCACACACTGGAACTTATTAAAGTATTATGTCATTCATCCCATCATTTCAGTGATAACACAAGTAATACAATTGCTGCTCAAATCAGTGTGAAAACCCTGCATGATGAATGCTATCATGTTTTACTGTTATCTACCTAGAACCCTTTGTTGCTTGATCTCCTGTTCTAGAGGAAAACATGTTCATTCAGACCATCTGTGGAATTCATAATGTATTTCTTTTTTTCAAAAGGTGGTCAAAAGGAAGAGTAATGGGAATACTGTATCAATTTAAAAAAAAAAAAAAGGTTTATGGAAATTACATTATGAAGACCACACAAATGCGTCTGAGTGTGAGAGTAATTGCATATGTCTATAGTTATTATATAAAAACTCATGGTTGGTATTCCCTTAAGCAGTTAAGGGGTTAATATGGGTCATCATTGTTATTGTTAGTCTGAAATCTTCAGGGGTATTGAAACACACTATCTAAAGAACCATATAGAAATGGAATGCTTCCGGGTTAG